ACACTGCCAGGCAGGGGCACTTGTGAAGGCTGGGGTAGGAAGTAGACTCACTGGGCAGGGGCTCTGTGGGGCAGTGGGGTGGGGAACAATTCTTTCCCTGGCATCAGCCAAAGTCAGAAAGGCATATTCAAGGTTGCCTGCTATCAGGTGGCACCTCTGTGGCTGGGGGGGGGTGAACATCTTTGGAGACTTTGGTCTATGTCTATGGCTGGTTGTGCATTCAACCTTTTGAGGGTTCCATGTCCAGGACACGCAGCTGGTATTCTGGGAACTCAGGGGACTACCACCTCACTGTCCTCAGTCCTGAGGTCCCCACTGGACTGCCTTCCTCCATCTTGCAGGACATCCTCCACCAGMTGGCTGTGTGTGTCTAGGTCTGCAGGTGTGAGTTGGACCTGGGAAGAAAGGGGGCTGCCGAGGAACTGAACTGGATGTTGAAGATTCTTGAAAACTGGCACCCCTCATCCTGGCTTCACCTCACGCCAGTGATGCCACATCTTTGCCGAGTACCACAGGCCTCTTCTCTTCAGAGAGCAGTGATTCTGGGCTTGGGGATAAGTCCTCTGCTAAGGTACAGCAGGATGACCCCATCCCCCAGGTCAGTGGGGCATTAAAGTTCCACCATGATGCTGAGCTTCCAGCACCGTCCCCCACCCAGCTCCCAGGAGCTGGTAACAGGCTGACATCTGCCAGGCCCAAGTCTCCAAAGATATGCCAGGCTGAGAAGAAACCAAAGAATAATAATTCTGAGGGCACCAAGTGAAAGACCCCAGCTGGGATCTCCTAGCAAAGCCACGGGGACAAATCCCAGGTTTCTAGCCAGTTGCTTGCAACCCCACTCCTAAATGTGCAGCCAGGGCTCCAGGGTACAAGTGGGTACTGCAGAGTACCACACTATCCTCCGACATCTCCAGCACCAGCAAGCAGGGCTCCCTCAGCCCCCAAAGCCTGGGGTTGCCCACGTGGACTGGGGCCTAGCCAGCACATCCGTGGGACCTGGCAGGCAGTAAGCGTGGCCGTGACGGAGAGGCTCCGGAGTGTGACTAACAGGCATTGGCACAGACACACGAGCCTCTGGAATCACTGAAAGTCTACCCAGTTGCTAAATCCACAGACAACATTTAGGATTTGCCAGAGCTGCTATTTGACAGCAGAAAATAACGAATCCAGATTTGTTCCACTTGAAAGGGCCTCAGCTGTTGCTACTTAAATCTGTACTGACACTTCCGTTTTCTGTGCTGAGATGATGTGGTGTGAGGGATGTGTGTCACTTACACAAAACAAGTAAGTATGTCTACTCTCTTGTGTGTAGCAAATGTAACCTAGGTGAATGCACATGCATATGAACTCCCAGTACCCAGGTTGGCAGTGCTGTCCCCCTCGATCCCCCACCAGCTCTCCTGTGGCCAGCTGGCTGACTGTGGTCACGGGGAAAGGCTGGCTGACAGCAGCAGGGCCCTCRTGTCCACTGTCTTTCTCTGAACCAACCACTTCAAAAACCACTCCTCGGCAAGTTTCAGAGGACTGAAGGAAAAGCACTTCACGCTCAGGAGAGAGAATCAAAAGGAGAAACAGACCCTCGTTCAAAGGGGGTCATCTAAGTTTCCCCTCTCTTCTGCGGCTGCAGGGAGACAACGACGAGCCCTCTGGCCTTGACAGCACTGGTGTCTCCCCCAGGGGAGCTGGAGCAGATGCTTCTGGTGTCTAGAGACACTGCTCTTTCAGCTGGCCCCAGCCCCTCTGTCACTACTTCCCAGCCAGAGGGCTGCCTGATGTTGTCTGAAGAAAACTCACTACAACAATATGCCCCTCATTCAGGACAAAAGTGAGCTACAAATATGGCTATCTCAAGAGCACCAAGCCTACCTGTGATGCTGTGGGACACTTGAGGCACAACCCATGTGCCTGCCCTGAGCCTGGATGGCTGGGGTCGTGGGGGGAAAGTGAGAAGGTACAGGGGGTGCCATTGCAGGGTTGGGCAGAGGCAGGGAGCGCCAGAGATGCTAGCCCACCCAGTAAAAGAAACAGACCTTAAGAGAGAGACAGGTCTGTGGAAGGAGAGGCAGGTTAGCACCCTGGCCAAGCAGGACTCCCCCACCTGCACAGGAATCTGTCCCTGAGAAGACAGAGGAGCCGCCTGGGCTCTGCGAGTCCTGGTTTTACACTGTCTCCCTGGCTGAGTGCACTACGCAGAGCCCCTGCTCACCTGGGGTTGCCTGTCACACATGACTCGAGTGTGGAGCAGCCACCCAGATGCAGGTACCTGTGTGACAGCCATCTCCACCCTCAGCTGTTCCTTGGCTGGAAGTCAGAAGTGCTGCTGCAGAACTGTGGTGCAAAACTCCACCAAAGCCTCTCGACACATGCCGACCAGCTCCCAGCGGCCAGCCACGAAGCTGCTTCTTTCCACAGCTGCGTTCTCCAAGTGAGACAATGGGGACAAGAAGCTTTGATCATTGAGCAAAAGATGTCAACAATAAAGCTCTTCCTTGAAGTTTAAAAAATAAACCCAAAGCGTTCCAGCCCACACGAGCCCCACCCACGCCTGGCCATGCTCCTGTCAGCCGCAGCATGAGAGCTGCGGGCAGCCAGAGTCCTGGCAGAAGACAGGATGCCAGTCTGTGACAGGAGAGCTGAGTAACACAGTGCTGGCCCATGTTGACAGCCTCAGGCCCTTGGGKCAGACTGTCCTCTGCCCCCTTGGCTAACACCCTGAGGCGCACCTGCCAACACCCAACTCCAATCCCTTCACTGCACCACCTGATAACAGGACTCCCAGGGACACGGGGTGTGGGGGGGGGGACAACCACAGGACATACCTGTCTTGCATGGCATTAAGGACTCTGTCAGGTGAGGGGCCAACTATGCTGGTTCCTGAGCACTTGGTGCCTCCTCCATGAGAGCTGACCTAGGGCCTCCATCAGCCCAGCACTCTCTGGATGCCTCCTCCACGGCCAGCTCCTGGCCCTTGTTCCTCTCATGGCAGACACCAGCTGAGCTCTCCTGCCTTTGCGGCCCTTGGCTACATGCACTCCTAAGCTGCTAGCCATCTTTTGGTGCCTCCCAGTCTCATTCAAATGCCTCTTGCATTGAACACCACCCCCCCCCCTCTGCCACACATACACTACCACCACTCACACCTCTGTTTTATGAGCTCTTCACCACAGATAGGGCTGCTCCATGAGCTGAGGGGTATATGTATAGAAGATATGCTCGGCCCTCCTCTGGCTGGGAACAGTCACTTCAGCTTGGAAGGGTGTCCCACAGCAGATGCTGCCTGGCACTCAGCTGGGGACAGCTGCCCACCCTGGAGGCCAGTGGTGCTGGCTGCTGCAAATTCAATCATGTTGTTCTTCTACTTTCAAACACATAATGGCTTCCCATTGTTCAGAGAATAAAGACCAAACCCTCACTGGGGCCCAGGCCTGGCCTCCAGCTCCCCTGCCATCCTATGGTTAACCCATGGCCACACACAAACGTATTTCCCAGGGGAGCCCCCTGCCCCCAGACACCTGCTCTCACAGCACCACCACATTCCTCTCCATCCATAATTACAGAGCCAGGATTGCCTGTGAATAATGTCCCCCAAGTCCCCATTAAACCACAAAACTGATGAAGACGGAGAGTGTGCGTCTTGCTCACCACTCCATCATCCTCAGTGCTGAGCCCTGACGGTGCCCACGGCGCACACGCGGTATCTACCGAGTGAATGACGGAACGAGCRCAAAACAAACAGCCTGGGATCTGGCAGGTCTCCAAAGTGCTATTTATAAGGCCTCCGTCCATATATTAGAAATGCTTCAGAAATGAGGGAGGAAACCTCAAACCTGGAAGGGACCATAAYTGTTTTTGGCTCAACACTTCTGGGCCTGGTTGGACCAGAGGCAGCACACATATTTTCTTGCTTTTACTCAACAACCCGGCAAAGCTGGGGTCATCCACACACTACCCAAGAGAAAACAGAACCCACAGGGGAGAAACAGCTGAGGCCACTTTAGCCCTGGGTACCAGGGTTTGTCCCAGTCTGCTGGGCCTTGGCTGCACAACCCAGGGAGGGCCACTCAAACTCCAGCACCAGTGGCCTCACCAAGGGCCACCTGGTATCCACTGGGGCTGTCCTGGTTCCCAGGTCTGTTCTCCTTTCACTCACCAGAAACAGCTCCCTGGGTGAGAAGCCCTGGATGCCAGAYACTTGGTCCATGGCATACACTTAGGGCAGAAGGGAGGCTCCCCAGGCACGGCCACTCAGCCACACTCACTCCGCATCCACAGTTGCTGCCTCCCATGAGAGATGCCAGAACTGGAAACTTGCCACTTTGACTAGAAACTGAATGGCAGGGCTGAAGTGTGCATCAGGGGACAGTCAGGAGGGGCTGCTCAGGACCCCACCCACACATCTGGATCTCCTTTAGGACCCTGATACGTCTTGGGGAAAAAGGAAATAAGATCTGGGAACAATCTCAGCCCGCGGTCTCTGCTTACTGAGAAGTGAGGGGTGCTGGATGGCGGAGGTGCAGGAAGCGCATCTAAGAAAACAGTAGCTCAGGGCGAGTGATCGCGTCCTGAATAATGGACAAAGGTGCCCAGCTGACAACAGAAAGCACATCTGGTCGGGCTACTGCTTCTGTAAGCAGTTCTCCTCATCTGCACCTCCCAGTATTCCACCGCTCATAAATTCCTTGCTGCCTAGAGCTGCACAAGCCAAGAAGATGGGCCTGTTGCTTTACCTTGCTGGCAGCAAAGGCAGATCCCACCAGATGCCTGACAAGAGTGTCTGCAAGCTCCTGAACATGGGGGAGGCTGCAAGGCCCAGCTGTCTGCCAGTGCTGGCCAAGAAAAGGATACTGGAAAAGGTCCAGCCCAGTGGAGATGAGTGTCCCTGCAGAGGAACCCAAGCGGGTGGAATGTGATTGAGGAACAAAATGCCATCCAGGAGGCAGTGGAGGAAGGGGTTCTAGTAGACTCCCACTGCCAGCAGCCCCAGCCCCAGCACAGCGTACCTGAGTGTGTCCACCTCCTCTCTGCAGAACGGGAAGCTCAACTCAGCAGAGCCTGGCTGGGACTTTAGCATCTTCAGCTCCATCTCCAACTGCGAGAAAACACAGGGCCAAGGGTCAGCAGGTGCAGGGGCTCTGCAGGCCTACAGATGGCACAGAGCCTAGAACCTTGCCTGGCCCCAGAGGTCCCAAAAGCACCWTTCAAAGGTTCCCCAGACCCAATCCCCTCCTCATGCTAGGGAACACAGGACAGGGGGCTGCTTTCCTGGAAATCCCAGCAGCCTGAATCTGCAAGGCCACCAGCATGCTACCTCTTGCAAAAATCGCCCTTTCCCTTCCTTAGCACTTCTGTCTGCAGATTAGCCATGGAGTCACAGTCATTCTGGGAATGATGTGGAGAGACACCAAAATCTCTGGGACAAAAAGGGACACAGTAACTGGAAAGAACATATTCTAAATTTGCTACTGCTTTGAATGAACAGTCACAGTATTTTCTTTCTTTTGCTACTTCAGATTCCTCTATAGAATACAGAAGCTGCAGGCCTCCCCCAGGAAGAAAGTGAACTGTAATAACACTTGGACACGTCAGGGTGGGAGGGTTAGGGAGTGGTGGATATGAGGAGTCCYAGTAATTTCAGGCTTGAGAATGGGTACTGTCAATGGCCAGCCACTGGCCAGGGACCCCAGAAGCCAGAGGACACGCACTCAGAGCTAACCTTCTCTCTCCACCCAGACWTGGGCTAGCTGAGGAGGCCCCAGGATTCCAAGGAGCAGCCTAGAAGGAGCCCGAAACTGTGCCGCAGCTGCAGCTCAGAGGCTGTCTGCTAACAAAGTCTGGCCACTCCTCAGTGTAGCCCTCAGGTGCCCTTACCCTTCTCATCCTTGACAGATGTGGGCCCTTGACCTTGGACTTCTCAGCCTCCAGAAACGTAGGTGGCAGAAATAACTGTTTATTATAAATTATTGACCTCTGGTGTTCTGTGATAGCAGCTACCGATGGACCAAGACAGTGTATTTCAACTTGCCAATGACATTCACTCCTAGCATGCTGACACTAAAATGCACTAACATGTCTCCTCTGTGAGGTGTGCACTTGTGGAAGGCCTTGTGCAAACCACAGTTGTTACCGACACAGTTGCTCACTACCAAAGAGCCCTCCCCCTTCCTCTACACTCAGGGGCCGTCTATATACCTTGCAGGTGCCTATCCTGAGAATCTGGTAGAAGTTTCCCTGAAACTGGCTCTGCCTGATGCATCTTCCATTTCTCTTTGTTGGGAGAGGGCAGCAAGACAACCGGAGCTATTTTGTGACAACTTTGCTCTTTAATAAGTGGCCTGTTTAGAATTTTTTTTTTCTGGATTCAGAATTGATGAGAAACTTTCTAGGAAAATATTACCTATTCCAGATGTTTGTGTTTATTTAAAAGGAGTTGCAATATGGTTCATAATTCTTTCCACAGAAGTCATGTAGAAACCATATTCTTTTTAGGGTTATTTTTTACTTGTCACTTACCTTACTATAGAGGTTTGACATATGCAGAGAGGTCTGAGCCATGGGTGCAAGCTGGGAATATTCTCTGTGTGGGGTGTGGGGGCCCCACCTGGCCACATAGAGTCCTCAGCACCGGAAGCTTTCTAAGCCTTCCCCAGCCAGAAGCATGAACATAATTAGTCCTGCTTCTTATTTTGGGTGGTGATGCTATTACATTTTACTAGAGTTGTGAATAATTCATCTATTTTATTGGCTTCATTTCAAGTAACAGGCACCTGGACTCTTATTATTTCTACTACTTCTTGCTCTGCTGTTAACCACTGCTTTGACCATTAGATTCCTAACTTTTGTCTTACTGGGGTTTTCTTTTACTGCATCTCTGACTTCTGCAGCTGGAGGTTAGTCCATGTATATTCATGATTTCTTGTCCCATGGTATAAATATTTAAACCATGAATTTAGATGTTTCCACTGGCTCTGATGAGGACTGCTTTCAATACAATTGTTTTCTAGATTTTACGCACTTTTGAATTGCATTTCTTCTTTGAACCAAGAATTAAGACAGAATGTTTTGTTCTGTTTGTCTTTGTTTTGTTTTTGAATTTCCAAGCAATAGGAGCCTTTTCTTTTTCTAGTTTTGTTTGTGACTTCAAATTTCGTCACATCACCATTAGAAGAGGTTTTATTCGAATTTACAAAGGTTTATAAAGTTTATAAAGCTTCTCTTTATTACCCAATGTGTGATTAATCTATGGACATTTTCTACGAACACTCTTTAAAGAATGTGTCCTCTAATTCTGGGGACTGGGGACTCACAATACAACTTGCTATGTCACAGACAAGAAGGTAAACTCACTTGCTGCTCACATCCTCAACCGTCTCCCCCTGCCCCTCTGCACATGTCAGTTTCCTGAACAGTGGCGCTGTTCTCTGGCACACTGATATCCATCCTGTATTCTACACTGCTTTATGGCTGGAATTTAGACTTGAACATGACAAAAACGACAACCCCTGCTTCTGTGTTTAGGACTAACAGATGGCCCCACAACCCACATGTTTCAGCCTCTTGGTTTTGCTTTGTAATTCATCAGGAAGTCTTTTCCTTTTAATAGAAGAGTTTAACCCACCTATATTTTGATATACTTCCTGTCTTATATTTTTAAAAACTGTATCCCTCTGTGGCATTCTAATCTTATTTACTGTTTTATGTGTTAAGTTTTGATACTCAGAACAGTTTGTATTTTTCTTACTGGTTGCTCTTATAGCAGAGGCTCTCTGGTACTGTGCCTATACCGCCCTGTGTTAGGCTGTGCTCATCACATGTCATGTGCAGTGTCTGTCTGGCCCATCTCTTGTTCACCTCTGTGGTGTCTGTCACTGTTAATTTCATGACTGAGCCAGATGTGCCCAGGTGAAACCTCACATCCTAGTGTGTCTCTGAGGCCACGGGGTGGATCAGCATTGGAATCAGTGGACTCAGAAGACCGTCCTCCCTGACACTGACATGAGCATCAGCATCCAACCCCCCAAAGGCCGAACAGAACCAAGAAAAGGTGAGGCTCTGAAAAGGTGAGGCTCTCTTTTTCTGCCTCCCGGTTTAAGCTGGGACATCTCAGCCTCGTGGACCAGGCCTTCAAACCTGGATTGAGTTCCACCACTAGTTTTTCTAGGTCTCTAGTTTGTAGATGCCGACTACAGGACTTCCTAGCTTCCGTACCACATGAGCCAATCCCTCATAACCAATCAATCCACTAGTCTCTCCAGGCAGACAAATGAATCGACAGGTTTTGTTCCTCTGGAAACCACTAACACCCAGTTAACACACACTTCAACAACTCAATGCTCTCCTTAGGGTATGTCTTCAATTTCAGCTACTAATGATAAGAAACCCATTTCTCCCTTCCTCTCCTATCTCAATACTTTCTACTAAATATCCAAGCCCTTTGTCACCAGAACGTGTAACAGGTACACTGCTACTATTCTCTTAACTCCGTGAAGCTCTTGTGGTGGGTTTCCCGGGGGTACTACCTTCCTGTGCACCTCCAGTCTGTCCTCTTTCCTGCCTTCCTGCCCCTCTCCTGTTCAAGGCCCTCAGGTCCATGGCCTTCTCCTCTGGCTTTGGGGGCACTCAYACTCTACTGGATCATGAGCTTTTACTTCTTGGCAAAACGTGTGCATACAATCACAGGCTCGAAATCTACTTCTTTTTCTGTGACTTTTCCTTTCCTGCTTCTCTCCTTCTGTCTCATAAATGGGCATCCGGATTTTCACTGCTCATCATGCAAGATGACTTTTATCACATCCAGTTTAGCATGAAGTCACACTGGAGAGTGGCTGGGGCCATTTTCTTTTCTTTAATCCAACCTGTTGGTTGTGTTGTGAATTCAATCAAGAGCCACTACTTGTCTCCAGCAAGAAGGGGAAGCTGTGAACTCTCATCAGAGTGACCACTGCTTTTCTCTGCTCAGGCACAGGGTGCAGGGGCCCCTCACACAGCTCCCTGCTATCTTGGGAGCCACACAGGGCCAAGGGACCCACTTCACCAAGGCCTGTTCTTGCCTCTCACGAGGTCCTGTCCAGCAAGGTGAGCGTCATTCAGCCTCTTAAGCTCTTTTCCTGCGCGCCGTGCCCTGGCGGCTCCCTGTGTCCGTACCTGCATGCTGCTACGTGTTCCTCTACTCGGGGCCACCTGCCTCTGCGTAGGGTGTGGACTTAGCTCTGTTCTTATTTTGTTGTTTTGGTTTTCATTCCTCTTACTTTTGAATGATTTCCGGAAATGGAGTGATTTATGTTCAACACCAACATGGAGCCCTTTAATTTTAATCTGTAACCTTAGACTCATAACTAACACACGCTCAGCTCTGTTCTTCTCACTGGGCCAATTCCCTTCCCCCTGAGCCTATACCAGAAAACCTCCCCAGCCCTGTCAGGCAATCCATCTCCTCACACACCCACMSCCGCCCCCCCCSCCCCSCCCYSCCCMCSCCSCCMYSCYSSCYCMCMMCYCTATCACCCTCCTCCAGTCCCGCGGCGCCATCAAGATACACCCAGGGCTCAGGTTTGCAGCTGCAGCCCACTCCTCCGTCTAGCCTCAGGGTGAACTGGGACACCAGCTCCTCCCAGGAGCCTGATGCCCAGACACACTGTCTAGCTCCCGTTGTCGCTTCTGCCAGACAGAGTACACATGCAGGGAGTTGAGCCAGCACTGGAAGAGAGGACCTAGACTCAACACACTAGCCACCCCATTTAAGAAACAATCTAAACCTACCATTTTTTAAAAGGGAGGCAATGTGTGGAAAGATACTGAGATGAGACCTGAGGAGGGTTCCCAGTGACCCAGCAAACAGCTCTCAGTGTTAACTACCTGCCATCGGCCATGGGGCTTTGCTGGCTGTGCAGCCAGGGCCACGCTAAGGAAGCCCTGAGATGCCCCATGTCCTCCTCCTTGTCCTTTTATCACTAAGGTTCAGCAACAATCTGGGGGCTCCACAGGGCAGGCCCAGAAGAGGCTATAACCAAGCCAGCTGGATTCTCACACCTGGGCAGGTGGGTGCAGGGTAAACACAAGGTCCTTGGGGTCGCTCTCACAGATTGCACCTCC